CCGCCCCATTCAAAGGTTGGGGGGGGGGGGGAAGAGAAGAGCATCTCATCTTGGATTTGAGCACCAGCAAACACTGCTGCAGCTCTGGCTCCAGCCCCAACCCACAGATGAAGCCACAACTGCAGCTGCTGCCTGCCCAACGCGAGAGTTGGGGCTGCTATCTCTGCTTCTGCTTAACTGGGGCCACCACCACTCCTGTATTGGGGCCATTGTGCGTTACACATGTCCTGGGCTGCAGCCTGAGAGACCACATACTGTCAGCAGCAAGAGGAGGGAGAGCACAGCAGGAATGCTGGCAATGCCCCCTGGGTCCACAGGCCAAAATAACACGGCTCTACAGGCTGAATGCAGCCCTTCATCTACAGGTTTCAATCCCTAATCTTGGCATTATAGCTAAGTAGTGCGCCTCGTACACATAAGGGACAGATTTTGATCAATCAGCACATAGTAAACTGTAGTGAACCATATGCATAAAGCATAAAAAATATGTTTAGTAGATAGAAACTGTGCTACTTACAAGGACTGTAAGTAGCAAGGCTTGAATTTTTGGATCAGTAAGAACCTCTTCATCTAGGAGGACATTTGACTCAGACACAGAAACTTTCCGAAGATGTGGGTGCTGTTGTGGTGATATTCTCTGGGTTTCTGCCGGAAAAAGAAAATTTATATAAATCAGAGCACAGCAGACCGAGGTGGAGGTAGGGGGAAAATGAAAACCAAAAAGAGATAAGGAAGAACCATATACCATTTGTTCAAATTCAGCCACGTAACTTTGTTTGATGCAACTTTGGATTACCCACAATTATGCAACTCCTATTGAGGCAGGCATACTGTAATACCTTCTAACAATACAGCACTTTTCATCTATAGGTAAATATCTGTTTCACAAAAAAGGAAAACAAGTGCAAGGAACTTAAGCAACGTGTGTACAAGGTCAAAACAAAGCCAGGGATGAGAACAGAACCCAGGTCCGGTGTCCCCGAGGCTGTATGCAGTAGGCCACACAGCTGTGTGTGTAAAAACCCTACATTTAGAGGTTATAAAAATATAGAAGGCATGATCTGGTTCATCTGATTTCATATGGTTATATTTTATGATTTAGGGCTGCCTCTTACTCGGAGTTTCCAAGATGAACGTCGACTGCCAGGGCTTCAGAAAGTTGGAAGCTTTCAAAGTGGCTTTGTTTTGTTAGACAGATATATTTGCTCTTTGTTGAGCCTATGTAAATGAGTACTGAATTTTACAATAACCCTTGGCTCACGGCAATGAACAGTGTGTGCATCTATATATAACTGCATTCTAAAAATGTTAGTCTTGCATTCTCACCAATTTCATAGTCATTTTCAGCTACTCTCCTCATCTTGGGGGGTGTAGTGGTTCCAGATTCCATTTCTTGCCTTTTAGGAGCCTTCGTGTCTGATATCAAGTGGTCAAAACTTTTCCTTGTACCTAAAAACAAGTTACCCATGATATGAAATCAAAACCAGTCATATGCACTGGGACAATAGGGCACTCTTTTTTTCTGATCTAGGAGTTACTAGCCTACCCAGAATACATGAGAAGAAGCTGGGGTGGGTTTTAGCATCCTCTGAGGCGCAGAGACCTTTCATTAGGAACAGAGAGATGAGTAGCTGTGTTAGTCTGAAGTCAGGCAGAAGGTAGGGCAAGGAAGCACCTCACTGATTCAGAGGAGCATGAGCTTTCATAGGCAACAACTTACGACACGGCATAACATCTGATGAACCAGGTTGTTACCCTACCTTCTGTCCTTAAGAAAAAGTAAAGCCTCTTCCTGAAAGTATGGGAACTTACTTAATCAAGCTAATGATCTAGGAGAAGTCAATCATCACTGATGGAAACATGAGCTCTGGATGCAGTAACACTAACAACGTGGCATCATCATCAAATCTTTTGAATTCTTGGCTAACTACAAGTTTACACGAGTAACCGATTTATTTAGAATGATAGTTGTCTCAGGTGTTGGCTGTGTGCTGCTCCTTTCCCTGACTATTTCCTCCCCAACAGACAGCAATGTCTTGCCATCTGGTAAATAATCTGACACCCAGATGTGTGTACTGTAATGTGATAGGTCTGATGCAGTATACCATCAGAGAAAACTTTTTTTTGGTTGTTGCGTCTGTGCAGTTAAGACCATCTATAAACCAAACAAGTTAAGGAGCTGTAAGTTTGAGATTTTAGGTTGATGGCACTTACTAAATTTTGTTTCTATCTTCAATATTTCAACCATTTTAATATAAAGTAAAACACAAATCTCCAAAATACTTTAAAAAAAGGTTGAGATTGACTCTGTTTCTCCTGGCTGCCTGCCCAGAGGAGAGGAGTGGAAGTTGGTAAAAGGGAGAGTCTTAGTTCTAGCGGACTAGACAAAAATCTTTAACTGAGCATCTTGCAGGTGTTGGGCATGTGCCTACAGGGAAAGATACGACTGTTTTAACAATGCCAGAATACATATTACTGGATCTCCCAGGAAGGTTTTACCTCAGTCTGCAGATAAGCCAAGGAATTTAGTGTCCTACTAACCCAGCAATTTTTTAGTGTTAGCTTGTGAAGGCTGCCCCATATCCAAGCTCATGGATTTTCGTGTTCGAGGGCTAATCTGTCCTGCTGTGGGGTAACTGGCAGCAAGATGTCTGTCTGATCCCTTTGGAGAAGACCACGGTTGATTTTCTTTTAGTGTCCTGAAAGGGTGGAAAAAGTGTCTTTTTAAAAAAACCCAGAACTGAACAGATTTGAATATAAACCATTTAAACCATTCACAACTGAAATGCTTGTACATTAAGGTACTGCAACCACTCTGGTTGCAAAGTTCTGAAAGTATAGCGTTCTGAGGCAATAAGATAATACATAAAGAAAAATAAAATAACTGTAAAAGCTAGCCTATGAGAAAATAACATAGCAGACTTCTCTCTTTCACTGGTCAACCAGGATTTAGACCTCATTTTTAAATTAAAATTCTGTTGGCTGTCCAACCCACAGGCAGACCTTTCATCCCACCCTGTCACAGGCAAAAGTGATATTGCTACACATGGAATATTCCAATGATGGACAGCGGTAGGTTATCATTAAAGAATTATGATTCAAAAAACACCTAAAAATAAGGATTAGGGTGAAGTATAGGCTTGGAGAGAGGGGCCAGGACAAAGCCCAGGCTCCATCTGACTCTCACAAAGCGCACTGATTCACAAAGAAGGAACCTTATTCACTTGAAATTTATGGGAGTTGGGCATCTACGCACCTCTGTAGAGCTGGATCATAAAGCTTAAGAAGTGCCTGGGTGTAAAACCATTGAATGCACAGTTGAAAATTAAGCTGCTGGTGGGAATGCTGGTTCTAATTTTAAACATCTTACTCATTTCCTTTAATAACCCCTTAATGAAACAGAGACTGAAATTTAGGTACTTGCTGTAACTTAAATGAAATGAGACAAACTGACCTACAGCTGGTGTCACTGTGATGTATGGGATATGTATCCATAGGAACATTTTCCATTGAAACATCTGTCAGCAAGAGAGATTTCCTGTGTTTTAAACTGCAGCGACTGCGAACTTCCTCAGATACTGTCAGCAGAGCTAAGAACGAGAAGAAAGGGCATGCCAGTTTTCGAAGACCGCAACATTTTAAAGAGCTGGGGCACTAGGAAGGGATATTTAACTTTAAGAAGATATATTATATTTTCACAGCAGCCCAAGAAACGTTTTACCTAAATATTTTCCCTCTTAATGAGCTTTGAGAGAAGTACCGAGGTACTTTTACTTTGAATGTCCAAAATTGCAATGTGACTCTTTAATACCCAGTCTTTGCAGATTCTTGGAAATTTTCAAGTGCAGGTTGGACAGACACTTGACTAGGATGGTACAGTCAGGACAATTCTGCTTGGAGCAGGGGATTGGCCTAGATGATCTCATGAGGTCTCTTCCAGCTCTACTTTCCTATGATCCTAAGGGAAGTGATTCTCCTGTCCTGTCCAGGCTGGTAAGGCCTTGCATGTAGTACCATGTTCAGTTTTGGGAACTATAATTCAAGAAAGATGTGGACAGATTAGAAAGAGTCCAGCAGACAGCAACAAAGATGATTAAAGGTGTGAGAAACATGAGGAAAGGCTGAAAGAACTGGGATTATTTAGTCTGGAGAAGAGAAGACCAAGGAGTGATCTGATAACAGTCTTATTCTATTCTCTGTGGTCAAAAGGTGCCAGATAAGGAACAATGGTTTTAAACTGCATCAAGGGAAATTTAGGTGGGGTATTAAGCATTGGAACAGGCTAACCAGAGATGGTGTGGAGTCAGTATCCTTGGAAGTCTTTAGGTTGCAATTAGATTTAGACAGACTACAGAAGTGGGCAGATGGCAATAGGACGGGCTTCAGTGTAGATAAACACAGGGTGCTGCACCTGGGGAGAAGGAATCCACAGCATACACACAAGCTGGGGAGCTCCCCCCTTGACAGCACAGAGGTGGAAAGGGATCTTGGAGTCATTATTGACTCCAAGATGAACGTGAGCCTCCAACGCCAGACCACAGCCAGCAAAGCCAACTGCACCTTGTT